AAGAAATTGAAACAGTAATACAAAACCTCCCGACTAAAAAAAGCCCAGGACCAGATGGATTTACAGCAGAATTCTACCAGACATTTAAAGAAGACCTCCAACACATACTACCTAAATTATTCAAAATGATAGAAAGAGAGGGAGCACTCCCAAATTCCTTCTATGAAGCCAGCATCACTCTAATACCAAAGCAAGGTAAAGATTCAACCAAAAAAGAAAACTGTAGACACATACACTTAATAAATATAGATGTAAAATATTCTCAATAAAATTCTTGCAAACTATATGCAGACACACATCAAAAACATCATCCACCATGATCAACTTGGCTTTATTCCATAGATGCAGGGATGGTTCAATACACGTAAGTCAATAAACATCATAAATCATATAAATGGACTCAAAAATCAGAACCACATGGTCATCTCAACAGATGAAGAGAAGATCTTTGACAAAATTCAACATTCATTTGTGTTCAAAGTCCTAGAGGAAATTGGACTGGAGGGAACATACCTCAACACAATTAAAGCTCTATACAACAGCATCATTCTAAATAGACCATCATTCTAAATGGAGGAAAACTGGAAGCATTCCCATAAATATCAGGAACCAGACAAGGCTGTCCATTATCTCCACTCCTTTTCAACACAGTGCTTGAAACTCTTGCTACAGCAAAAATACAGGAGGAGGAAATTAAAGGAGTAATAATTGGAAAAGAAGAGATCAAATTAATCCCTTTATGCAGATGATATGATATTATATGGTTTTGCAGATGATATGATATTATATTTAAGAGACGCCAAAAATTCCACCAGAAAACTCCTAGCAATTATTAACACATTCAGTAAAGTGGCAGGTTACACAATTAATCTACAAAAGTCTGTAGCCTTTCTATATACCAATAACAAACAATCAGATAAAGAGCACATGGAAACACTCCTGTTCACAACAGCTGCAAATAAACCTGACCAAAGAAAATAAAGACCTCTACAATGAAAATTTTAAATCTTTAAAGAAAGAGATTGAGGAAGAATTCAGAAGATGGAAGGACCTCCCACGCTCATGGATTTGAATAATTAATATTATAAAAATGACCATCCTACCGAAAGTCACTTACTAATTCAATGCAATGCCAATCAAAATCCCCATGACATCCTTCAAAGAATTGGAAAAAAATCATCCTAAGATTCATACGGAAGCACAAAAGACCTTGGATAGCCAAACAAAACAATCTTGAGCCAAAAATCAATGCTGGGGATCACCATACGATTTTAAGCCGTATTACAGAGCTATAGTCATAAAAGCAACATGGTACTGGTACATGGTACATGGTACATGGTACAAAAATAGACTCATAGATCAATGGAACAAAATTGAAGACCCAAATATGAGTAATTGCAATTTCATCCACCTGATATTTGACAAAGGGGCCAAGAACATTAACTGAAGGAAAGAAAGCATGTTCAGCAAATGGTGCTGGCAAAACTGGATCTCCACCTGTAACCTGTACAAGAAGGGAACTAGACCCCGGTCTTTCATCTTTCACCTTGCACAACAAACATCAACTCCAAATTGATCAAAGACCTCAATGTGAAACCTGAAACTCTGAAACTATTAGAGGAAAACATTGGCAATAACCTAGAAGATATAGGTGTATGAAATCATTTTTTAAACTGGACTTCAATTGCTCAGGAAACAAGGTCAAGAATCAACAAATGGGACTTCATTAAACTAAAAAGCTTCTGTACATCAAAGGAGGCAACCAGGGAAGTGAAGAGAAAACCCACAGAATGGGAGAAAATCTTCACCAGCAACAGATCTGACAGAGGTTTAACATCCAGAATATATAACAAACTCAAAAAACAGAGAATCGCCAGGCATGGTGGCGCATGCCTTTAATCCCAGCACTTGGGAACTCACTTTGTGAGTTTGAGGCCAGTCTGATCTACATAGTGAGTTCCAGGACAGCTGGGGCTAGAAGGAGACCCAGTCTCAAAAAGCCAAAAAACAAAAAACAAAAAACAAAACAAAACAAAACAAAAAAACCCAGAGAATCAAGACAAGAAATAATCCAATTAAAAGATGGGCTAAGGAGCTGAACAGAGAGTTCTCAGAAGAAGAAGTAAAGATGGCTATGAAACATC